ATGCAATAAAATACATAAAGTCTATGTATTAAAAATTAAATTGGCAGTGATTTTATAATTTTCTAGATTAAAAATAAGTCTTATTTCATACAACTCTTATTTTTACAGTTCGACTGGCAGTATTTGTTATCATCTGGCTTGTTTCTTTTGGAAAACATCATTTATGGTTATTACCAAATCTTACAGAAGATGTGGGTTTTATAGAATCATTCTGGCCATTATATAAATACGAATTTAAAGGACAAAAAGATAAAAATGGAGAAAAGGAAGAAAAACCTATACAAACCAAAGAAACAACAGAAGATAAAGAAGAATCCACAACAGATCAAGAAGGAAAAGAATCTGAGGACCAAGTGCATTCAGAATCTGAAAAAGATAGTGAAGTGGAAAGGGACAGAATAGAAAGAGAGAATGGAGACAATGGATTTGAAATTCTTGATCCTTGTGAAGAATTGGACCAGGACAAGAAAGACAAACCAACAGTAGATCCGAAAGTATAATTGTTAAAAAAATTAATGTATTTCCTTTCTGTTTTATATGTGATCATAAAAAGTACGGAGGAATATATGGCAGATGTTTTGTAATTTATTTGCAATGTGTAACTTCAAACAAAGATCTATTCTCTGTTGCATTTTTAATTCAAGCATTCCTCTTTTACAACTTGGACTTTTTATCTTCACATAAATGTTTAACCGTGCACACATCTGGTTATTAAAAAAAAAAAANATATTTTAACACTAACAAGCCGTCAAATTTTCTCAAATAATTTCAAAAACAAAACAGTATTTAGAAATAAATCAGAAACGAAAACAAATTTATTATGCACTTTCGCATTTTTACGAATATCAACTTTTAATATATTTGTACGATAAGGATACAATAGATCTTGGATATAGCCTCCTCCTATATAGCACCAATGAATACTGTCAGCGGATCTTTCCCATTAAAACTTATCTATTATGAAATCAAACCTTTCAATATCTGTGAATTCGCAAATGTACGAATTTCCATTACGAATGATACTCTTATCATCAAATGTCGTGACTTAATTAAAACTTAAAATTATTAATAGTTATAAGACAGCAATCGGCAACTTTAAAAAGTGACCTCGTACAGAATTACATTATCAGCAGAATAGCTTGATAATCCGTCGCCCTATTTTAATTAACGAAGATTGTTTAATTTTGTTTCTCTTCTCATTTGGGGTATACGATTTTTAATTAAAAATGTGGCAGCATTTTAAGAGGATTTTTTAAAGATTCATTTATGTTGTTCGTCTATATTTCCATTTATGAAAACGCTTCGTAAATGGAAGCGTGAAAATGGCAAGACAGCTGGGACCATCGGTAGACTCATTTACACTTTCATCGCGAAGGTTGACACTACTGCGATTTTTCGCCACTTTTATCTTAGTTACACCCTGACTCAGCTACTTACAGGACACGGCAACTTTAAGCAATGCTTGCATAGATTTAACATTGGAGACAATCCACAATGCGATTGTGGTATTCAGAAGGACCAAATACCGTTTCACTTAGTTTTTCGCTGCAATAGGTACAATCACATTAGGAATATTCTTGAAGGGTACAACTGGCCTTGCAACCCGCACCAACTCATTCACACGCGTACATTGTTCCATCATCTACTCGCATTCATATCCCTTAGTGGGAGTCTTGAGAGCACTCACTCCAGGGGCACGGATGGCAATTAGCTTTTCCTTGCTTGGTTTCAAGTGTCCGTATATAATTGCAGTTCAACTTTGTATTTTAAATTTTTTTCTGTTTTCTTTTCAGTCTAAATTCGTTTAGTTTAAGTTAGTCCTAGTTGTAAGTAAGAGACTGTTAGTTTGATTTCCCGTTAGGTTATGATAGGTTAGATTAAATTAGATTAGGGTTTGTTAGCTTTAGTTGTCTGGTTAGGTTATGGTAGGTTAGTTTAGTTAGTGAGTAAGTTAATGCTTAAAAATAAATAAATAAATAAAAATAAAATAAAATAAAACAATTTGGGGTCTTGCTTGTTTGTCTTCTGTCAGTCCGTTCATCTTGTATAGTTTGTCGTTGTGCTCGTTTGTTTTCACGATGTCTGTTTAGCTGTTAATAGCATTAAGATTCGCGCTCGCGTTCAATTTTATTAGTATTAAGTAGATATAAGACTTCCTACTAACAACCACTTGGCACTTTTACACTTAGCTATTCGTGACGACACTGAATTATGGTGTTCGCTAACTCAGGTTTTCTTTTAGACCTTTTGGGGACTACGGCCTTGCAGCCTAAAAACTGCACACCAATATCAAACGTAGAGGGTTCAGTAGCCATATGTACGGCGTTCAGACGGATCCTACCTTTCTCTACTGTCTATCTCCTCTCCCTCCTTCCTCCCCCTTTTCTGCCGGCTAAACACCTCGTGTACGGCCGAGGTCTTTCATGTACAGTATGTATATTTCCATTTGTCCGAAAGATGTTTTTTTTTTTTTTTTGGAAACAGAAACTAAAAGTTAAAACTTTCAGAAACTTTTTCATACCAATTTTCATTATACGCTTATTATAACATTTTCATATGTTATCAAAAATAAAAAAAGCCATTCATATTCTCGTGATCTATTATTAAAAATCTATCAACGAGTTGCTTAACTTCCCCAGTAACATTTGATGGCGCCATCTGTTATCATATTTTATTTTATAAACTTTTTATAGTTTTAATTATTATAAAATGGCAAAAAGCTTAATTTTCTGAGTAGGAATGGATTTTATAAAATAATTGTAAATGCTAATAATGTCATTAAGTTTGACTCCACTAGAAGTACACCGACCCCCTTTATCCCAGCGGTCGGATGACCGAGCGGTCAACGTGGCAGCCTACCGCTCTGGGGGACCCGGGCTCGAATCCAAACTGGGTCGAAAAATCCCCGGGGATTTTTCGGGGGTAGTCTGTTCACATATGTCTGACCCCGTCCCTTACCACTCGGCAGCCCCATTGTGGGCCTGGCCGAACCCATAATGGGCTTGCAAAAAGAGGCTCTCCTAGTGCCTACAGGGCGAAAGAGTTTAAAAAAACCCTTTATCCTCCACTCCCTAGACTTTTAACCACCAAAACTTAATAGCATCAATCCTCTAATACGTGCAAAATTTCAGAAACTTTTGACAAAAAGCACATGAGTTATTATGATTCAAAGAACGTGAACAAAATCATACTTCCCCACACACACCCCAGCATCCATACATAAAGAAAACAAAAACGAATTTTTTTTTTGCATTTCTCGACGTTTCACGGTTCCCTGAGTCCAAAATGGTAAAAATCTTCGGGGAGGCTNAAAAAATATACAACAAAATTTTTGAACTAAAGATTTTTAAATGTTTTTATGCCAATTTAATAAAATAATAGTAATAATAATAATACTGTAAAGACAATTGCAAAATAAATGAGTTAGTTCATATGCTTTTGTTGACAGATTTTATTTTTACGCGCCGAAACTAGTTAAAAGGCGATTAATTTTCCTTGAAAATTTTGCGCTACTTTTGGGCGGATTACAAGCGCCGCCATTCAGCCATAGTAACTAGCGTCATTTGCCCCTAACAACAGCTGCATTGCGATTGTAAACAAGACGGATGGATTTGACGTCCTCTCTCAAAGAACAAAAGACAAATATTTTTCCTTTGTCAGTCCATCTAAGGAACCTTTAAACTATTCCGCTCGTTGTCTGGTAAGAGAAGTTACTCTTTAGCATTCTTCCTCCATTTTAGCTTCTAATATCAATTGTATTAATTCATCAGAAAAACGGTAGTGTTTTCGATGAGAATACCCTTAACGTGTGACGTCACGTGTTTAAGAAAAAACGATTGGATTAAATTCGATTTTCATTATCCGTTACACCAGATCATTGTCTATTTCGTATAATTAATTTATAACCTTTTTTCTTTGATACTCGGCGATTGTTGCCGAATGCAATGTTATTCTAAGCTAAAAATATCGCACAATCTAGCTTAGTGAATACTGTGAAGTTTTGATAAAGTAACACAATAAACTGTTGCACTCTATTAACTTTTCATTATGTGTAAGTGTAAATTATGCAAGTAGTTTCCAACTACTTGTCATTAATAAATTTAGAACACGAAAATTAAACTGTCAAGTTTAAAATAGTATTATTTAAATTAACAAAAGTTATAGAATTAACCATTGATTACGTATATTTTTTCATTTCAATTTTTACCTACACTTATTAACATGTTTATTTTCAAATAAAATTGCGTGCATTACAAAAATATTTACCTTCGCTTTAATAATATTTATTACGCATGTAAACAGTTCGTTATCTTTAAATTGTAAACTGAAGATTAGATTAGCATTTCTTAATCCATTTATTGATTTTAAGCCGTCGTGTTTATTCATTTATTTTCGTCGGGGACGTCATAATTCGATTTCTTTCATTCAAAAATGCATTTATATATATTATACTTTTTTTTTTAATGGAGATAGATTCTGAGAAATTATTATTTTCTTTATCTGCATGAAAATAATTTTTGTTTTTGCATCTGTTGAGTAAAGTAGTTCATCAATCCTCAAAGATAAATTATGTTTACATATAAATCATGTCATTAATAGCTTTGTTTATAATTATATATTTAAAATATTAGACTTAATGATAATTAAAACTGCCAGACAAATCAGATAAAAGTTGGTTATANATATTTTATAACAGTGTTTTTAATGCAAATAAATATAAAATTTGAAATTTACTTCTGCTAAATGTTGTTAAATCCTGAATCTTATCAAATATATAAATGCATGAAAGTTATTTTTTTTGTTTTGTATTTTTATACGTAAAAATTTTCAGTCAGTTTATAAGTAATTGTAAATTTAAATGCTTTATCTTTACAAAACATATAAATGCAGTAGACACTCATTAATTCAAACTCAGAAGGATGGCCCAACAGTTTGAATTAAAAGGAAACTATTTCTGGATGCTACAGAACAAAAACGAAATGATTTTAACAACACATTAACATCACATGGCAAACAGAATAATGTTTAATCAATGAGAAATACAAAACAATGGTACTTGTTAATTCAATGGAATAAAGGAAAAAATCGTTGGATAGCTGTGATGAGCAAGTACTATGGGGCAACTGTAAAGCATCCTAATCATGTGCCAACCAATTTGAAATGTTTTAAAATTTTAATTAATTTCATTTTAAATTCAATCTTCAAATTTCAAAAGTGGGAATAAAATTTTAATCAAACACATGATGTTAATTCAAATAATCAGGAGGCAGCACAATCAAGTTTGGATTAACAAGAGAATTTTGTTAATTTAAATAAGAATTGGATGTGTACTAGTGTCAGGTCTAGTTCAAATTAAGAGGAAATTAAAATTGTCTAAATTCAAATTAAGGAAAGTCTACTGTATTTATATTACAAACTACAATGCTTTGTTTCATAAGTTGTCTTAGAAGTAAACAAATAGTTCATCATTGATTGATGATAAATTTAAATTTATTAATTTACTAACTTATATTACAGTTTTAAATTTTAAAATATGTGAAAAAAGAATTTTAAAGATTTGTTTGGATATTTATGTAAATAACAATACATGATCTTTATTTTAAATTTAGCAAGATATACAAGAAGAAAGTAAACCAACTAAAGTTGAATATGCTATTGCCAAATATCTTAGAGACAAGCTTCCTGCAAAAAAGACAACACTTCTCAGTCATAAAGTAGAATATTTCATTGGTAATATAACATTCTTTTAAAATTTTGACATGATTATAATTTCAGTATATTTATATTTTCTACTTGCATTCATATTATTTATCATTACTAAAAAGTGATTTTATTAACAATGTATTTGATAACCATTCATCAATGGTTATCAAATACATTGTTAACAAAATCACTTTTAGAAAATATTTGTATAAAATTGCTTTTTGTATTTTTTTTATGTTAAAATTTTATTTGTATATCACAGCTTCAAAAGCTATTGATTGTTTGATGGACTCACCATGGGCTAAAAGTAAGAAGATGGAAGCTAATTTCACAACAAGAGAATCAATTGTGGAGTTCATGGATAAGTAAGTATTTCATGTTGTTTATTGTTTTAATAAAACACTCATAATTTATTTTAACTTTTTATTTTTAGCATGCTAAGGCACAAATTTTTTCATCGTGCAAAGAAAATTGTTGTTCAGAAAGATAGTAAAAAGAAAAAAAAAGAAAAGGATGAAGAAACTAATGCTGGAAGTGAAGAAACAAAGGAGAAAGAAAAAAAATTGAAAGAGAAGGAGAAAAAAAGTAAATCAGAAAAAGAAGAAAAGGCTGACACTAAAAAGGTAAAATAATAAGATACATTACAGAAAGAACAGTATAATTAAATTGAACCAAATCTCAAATCACTTCATAATCATAAAACAGTTTCTGATTTTTATCCTCAGTGTGGCTCATAACAAATTAGCATTTCAATTAGAAACAATTTTCATTTAATTTGAGAATTTTTCAAAAAGTCAAATATATATTATCAATGATTTATTCAATTTTATCAATGATTAATGATTTACTCACATTTTTTAATTGTAAAAATGTCTAAGAAGTTTTAACACTAAGACTAAAGCAAATTTCAATAATTAAAGAATTTTTCAAAATAAATTTTAAATTATAGTAATAAATTAAACAATAAATCAACTAAACTTGTAAAACTTGAAAATCCCCTTTTTCAGTTTATATCATTTATGTTTTATATATGTTTTTTCAAAATAGAAATTTCAGAAATTTCTTGAATTAAATTAGATATATATGTGACCACAGGGTCGACACCTGTTTAGCGCCTTGTCATGATGACACCACTGTGTCTTGTGAACAGACACAGAAAAAGAATATTGGCTATTAATTTACGTTATGCGAACGGTTGCGTGTGCGGACCTTTGGTTCCGGGATGGAGGCGGAAGGAGAGAATCAGAGGAATTACACTCTACAGATTATCTTTATATACATAATACCCGTTTATTATTC